GGCATAAGACACATCCACCAGGGAGAGGTTGGTGAGGAAGAAGTACATGGGGGTGTGGAGTCTGCTGTCCAGCCTGATGAGAAGAACAATGAGGAAGTTTCCCAGCACTGTCACCAAGTACATGACCGAGAAGAGCACAAAGAGTGAGACTTGAACATCCCAGTCGCTGGATAGGCCCAGGAGAATGAATTCACTCACCCACATCTGATTATCCGGTTCCATTAAAAAATGTGATGCTTATTAATCTGCAGAAAATTCAGAAAAACAAAAAGAGGTGAATAGCCATAAAATAACACTGTAAGAATCCTGCACTTGACCTTACTTCTCGCCTGTCAGCTTTCGGGTCACTCATGAGGCCATGACAGTAGAGTTGATTCGAATAGCCTGTCTACTCTCTTTGTAGGACAGACCAGTTCACTAATAAAGGTGTGACTTGAAACCTGGCATGGTGGAGCACACCTGCAATCCAAGAGCTGGATAGACAGGAGGAGCACTCCGAGTCTGGGCCACATGGGGAGAACCTGTGCCAGATGAATAAATAAGTAATTTTTAATAAATAAAAAACAAGAAGATGTGACATGTGTGAGGAAGTCAGTTAAGACCGAGGGAAATGGAGGGGACATTTAGTTCTATCACTGACCTGGTTACCTCCACTCTTTAGCAAGAAGGGCGTAGTAGTTGCCAGGGGTACTCACTGGATGGTGAGAAGAAGACAGTTGGCAGGATGAAAAAACTCCTCATATATTTCCACAGACTAACTTTGATGAAATGCAAGGGGGAGCTATAAAAAGTGATTCTGAACAGGAAGGGCTTTGTGAAAGGTTTGGAACTCTGAGGTGAAACCTCATTTTATTGGGCACATGACTGCTATCTCATGTGAAACTTCCAGGTAGAATGCAGGCTCACACATCACGCCTGCTCACACAAGTGCACACACGTCCCATGCAGATGGCTGATGGCAGGCACTTGCAAACTCTTGCTGCAGCGCAACTCCAGCAGCATAGGTGCTTGTGGTACTCACTTAAGTACATGACAAAGAAAGTCATGATTTTTGTCTTTTGCCTGCTCCACAAAATTAGACCAAAATTATTTACGACCTGTCACAGAAACTTTCAAAATTTTTTTTTTCAATAGGTTTTTGTTCCTTCCACTTCGTTAGGCTGCGGACGCACAGTGTCATGGATCCAGAGCTTGGTCATTTTATCCTTTCAATTTGCTGGTCTTAACAATTTATTCTCTGCAAATGAATTTACGAGAAAGCATAGATCCTTAACAACCCTAGATGAAAGCAATATGCACAGTTGGCAGTTAAGGCCCACCTGTCTCGCCCAGCGCAGAGGAGAGGTATGCAATTGTTGCCAACATGCATTGGAACACAAATCTCTTTCTGCCTACTTCCTCAGCAAGTACCTCTTCTGAAAAACTAATTATTTATAACATAAATTTTAAACATTAAGCAGAAACAGGTTGCATCCAGACATTTATAACCGCCTTGTTGTTATTACTCATACCTACCTATCCACTTAACTCTGTTTAATGCCTTGAACAAAATAAAGGAAAGTAGAGAATAGGTACAGGTGAGTGCAAATAGAGAAACAGATCTCTGTATAGACTAGGGCCTGAGCTGAAAGGGGAGGCTGTCAGTGCCTCAACTCTCTTGCCAGACAAAAGGCTAAGCCATGCCAGTCCTTCTGGGAAGGGTTAGGGATAGGGTTAGCTCCCCTTACTGAGTCTGTCTGCTAACCCCTCCTTGGCAAGCTCAGTGACTCCACGCTATTCTCTGTCTCCTTCTGCAAGTGGCCTGCCTTGCAGTAGAAATGGTCCCTTTTCTAAAACTTCCACTTCTTGTCTTCAAATGACTGTGAAGATACATTAAGGTCCTCAACATGCTAGACATATTTCTAATGGAATCATGGAAGGCATCATCACTCAAGCAGTCTACTGGAATGTCCCTAGGTCTGAATGCTTCATTACCCTGATTGGAGTCCTATTTATGCTAAATCTTCCTCCATTTCTGCAGAGTTCTTGAGAGGAAAGGAAGGGCTTTGTATAATACCATGACCATTCCTTGTAAACTGTTCCTCCTTCCTGTCTACTGCTGCCCACCAATATCCCTGTTGTAAGAGTAGTACTAAGACCTTGAAGGTACCACAGGCAACCATTGATCAAGAAAGAAGATGAGAGCCCTGTCCCAGGGTAACTCAGTCACACAGCAGCACTCTGGACTCTGTGGCTCCCACAGAAAGTCAGCACATGTGCTGTCCAGAGATGTCCTCTGATGCTTCTGTTTGATTGTGCTTTCACCCATTTTTTAAGTGCATTTTGTTTCTCTCACTGATTGACTCAGCTCACCTTTGCAAGGAAGATAACAACCAGGCCTCAGTGCTCAGATAGCATTTCCTTTCCCATATTTTATTATACTATCCCAGAGAGTGTCTCATGTATTTAAAACAATCTGAAACCACTTCCTACTTCTAATAACTGGCTACTCCAATAATTGAAGTTCAATTTTTCCCTTCCCCTCTAGATTAGGATAAGAGAAAAAGTTCTGAATTAGAAAACCTAGAAAGCATGTACACTACAAAAGGATTTCTAAAGGTCTCGTCCTCCAGAGACATTTCAGAAAAATAATCATTGAGATTCTTCATGTCAGTTCAAAGAGCGCATCACTGGTGGCCTTCATCTGCTTCAAAAATACAAAGTCAAACATAGTGAGGCTTAAGTGTGAACCCTTTACCCACACCAGCAAGATGCTGCTCTACAAGAAGATGTGGGTAATGTCATATAACTAGGAGATAAAAAGACTTTTCCTGGGAAAATGTATGTCTCATCTTTTATAATATTCAACCAAACCTTAATCATAATGGGTCTCCTTATTTCAGTTCGCTATGCTCTTAGTTGAAATAGATTACTAAATTCAGAAACATAACACATGAAGGAAAGACTCACAACCCACAGAGATTTCTCTTTCATATTTGTCAAAACAAATCAGAGTCATACCTTTACACAGCTGAGCCTCCGAGGGAAACATCACTTTTATTTAGACACAGATGAGTCTGACCTGTGGCTAAAATCTTGACTGTTACGTACAGAGTGCATTTGTCGCAGAAGGTAGTATTCCCACATCCTTACACCTGAACACACAGACCCCCACGGACACTTGCGTGTGTGATGTAGCAGAACTCATTTTCCTTTCCAAGAGGACAATGAGTTTTTTCTTCTTTAGAGTCTTCTTGCTTCCTTTTTTCCCTGACTATTCACATAATTTGACTCTAATAACTGAAATCTAGTTTCTCAGTCAGCTGCAATCTTGAGATTCAACTTTGGTCCTTCGTTTTGTCACAGTATCAGCTGGCAAATCGTAAGCTTCTTTCTACCTCTTGGACCTGAAATCTAGGGTAATAGTTCACAGTAGAATTCCTTCCCTCTACTAAGTTGACACAGTACTGGACCACAGCTCAGCCAAGAGAAACCACCCTGACACAGGAGTCATGAGACCTCTGGAAGTTCTAGTTCCCACTGTGAACACGCTACTAATCAACAGTTTATTTCATCCCCTATATTTTAATTATTTCTAGTGATATGAAAATAGTAATACTTGTGTGTACTGTAAATGTAATAAAAGTCTACAAACCAAATGACAATGTATCATTCTTACAAATTTAATATAACTTTAATCTATGTCCATTAACATCAGTACATAACTACATGTTTTGGTAACCAAGGTTTTTCCCCTAAGTGTCTTTCCTAAAAGGAAGGGTGGCACAGAATTTACCCCATATTTCCAATTTTTATTAGTAATGATTGTCTTTCCCCCTCTCTTTCTTTCTCTCTCTCCTCTCTCCCTTCACCCCTTCTAGCATTAAGCTATTAAGGTTTGGAATAAGAAAACTTTTGCAATGAAAATATATGTAAGTCATCAATTTCTGGAAAATATAATTATTTTCCTATACTTCCTACTAGTCAGAGTGGTAAGAATTCAGCCTTTATAGTTCATTTCTGTAATACAGACTCACCAAAAAGCAAATGTATAATAATTCTGCTGCTTTATCTGCTCCTGTTTACATGTGCTCTCGTGTGACATCTCTATTCAGACTTGTAATATATCAATTAATGTCGACTGATATGGTCCTTTTTCCTTTCACCTAAGATTGTTTTCCTACAACGCTTCCTTCAGCAACACAGTGGACCATGGAAATGAGTGTCCTGGTCCATGCTGTAGAAGTCACCTGGGACTGGTTTTCAAACACTGTTGGGAGGAAACACATGGGTGATCCCAGAGGGGCTCACACACAGAACCAATAAAGGGTGGCAGTGGCTACCTTGGCAACGGGGAGCCGACAGATTCCTCAGGAGCTTCAGGTCTCAGAGTGTTAATTGCAGCAGTGACCCAAATCCCAAAGGGGGGCATCATTCCACCTTCTTTCTCTGTGTGGAAAGCTGTTCTCCTAATCCTCCCCTCAGAGCTCCACCAAAGTCTTAGTCAGTCTAAAAGAAGAAATCGTAAAGGCCAACTTCCTGATATTTTAGGATGTTGCCCTATGACTCAAACTTACTGTGACTCTCAGGGGCTCCATACTGCTGATCAATGAGTACCCCAGTCCATACCAAAATGAAAATCCCTTTTCATCTAGGTCCAAGGTACCCTTCTGGAAACACAGTGTTACACTATTCTGTTGAGTTGCATGCAAGCAATAAGATTAGATATTGTGCGCTTTACAAGTGTGGGTGGCCAGTAAGTATATGTTACACAGTACTATTTAAGACCTAGAATAATTATGTGACATAAAAAGATTGAATGGGCCAAATATAGTCTCCAAAAAAAAAATGTTTTGGGGCCAGGGAGATGGCTTGGTAGAATAAACGCTTCCCTGGCAAGCACAAGGACCTGAGTTCAATCTCCAGTTCTGGAAAAAAAAAAAAGATTTTGTGATCTACAAGGAAAAATGAGAAAAAAAAGTTATCCAAAGTTGCACAGAAATTGAGTTAGTATACCTGTTAAATGTTCAACATTTGTCTCAGCTCCTGGTTTTTGTTTTATTGTTCTTGTTGCTGCTGCGACAAAATACCTGACACCCAAATTAAAGGAAGGAAAGGTTTATATAGCTCACAGTCAGTGTGGAGGTTTTAGTTCACATTCAGCTGGCTCTAAGGCAGAGCGGAACATGGTAGAAAGCAGCCATTCATGGTGGCAGCAAAGAGCAAGAGCTCAAAGGGAGCGG